GTTTCCTCAAAAATCTGAACATAGACATTCCATATGACCCAGCTATTCCACTATTTGGAATATACCCCGAGAAAAGAGAACTGAGGCACAACGGAGACTTGTACACCAGTGTTCATAGCATCATTATTCACCACTGCAAGAACATGGAAACAGTCCAAATGTCAAACCACAATTGAATGAATTGCGAAATTATGGTTCTTTCACTCAATGGAATACTATGCAGCACCACTGGAGCAATGATTTTGTAAATTATTACCTAACTTAGGAGGGACTGGAGAGCATTATGTTGAGTGAATTAACTCCGTCCCACAAGGACAAATCCTGTATAAGACCATTATTGTTGAATGATTGTAAGGATCCAAGGGAAGAGGGAGCAGAGGAGTGAGGAAGCGAGGGGGCTGTTCATTGGTTCGCAGAATTTGATGGGTGGTGGAGGAGGTGAGAGGAATGGAAAAGATCCATGTGAAAAGCAACATATACAAACTTTGTAAATAAACCAGTATAAAATAAAAAAAAGAAAAAAAGATATTTGCAATTAATAAATCATTGTAAATATAAAATTCAATCATTCTAAAAAAAGATAACCACTTATAAAACTGTGATATCTTTGTTACAAAAGGAAAAATTACCTAAACATAAAATGAACTGTGAGTTTGCATTTCTCTCTCTCTGTGTCTGTCTCTCTCTTGTCTCTCTCTCTCTCTCTCACACACACACACACACACACAGACACACACACACTCTGAAATCCTTTCTAAAGTGATTTTTAGAAAGCACTAATTATCTAAATTACTAAATTGCTAAACTAATTATTATTAAAATATATTGAACACATGTTTGATCAATTTCACACTGCAGAGATAGGTAAAAATCCTCAAATTTTTAATGTTGACTTTAGTGATGCCTGTTGTTGTTGTTGTTATGTGCCATCGAGTCACATTCAACTCATAGTGACCCTATGTAAAACAGCCTTAAACCATGCTCTATCTTGTGCCAATCTCACTGTCTCAGACACACCTCCGCTCCAGTCACTGAATCAATCCATCTCATAGAGGGTCTTCCTCTCCTGTGCCATCCCTCCACCCTCCCAAGAAGTCTGTCCCTCTCTAAGGACTGGTCCTTCCTTGTAACATGTCCAAAGTATGTCAGACAAAGCTTCAGAATCCTTGCCTCCAAGGAGCAGCCTGGTTTCACTCTCTCTAGGATGAATCTATTCAATTTCTTAGCAGTCCATGGTATAGTCATTACTCTTCTCCAACACCACAGCTCAAAGGCATTAGCTCTTGTTCTAGCATCCATAGTCATTGTCCAGCTCTCTGACGCATAACACCTTAGTATCCAGAGTGACATCATTGCTATTCAGTACTTTGGAGAGGTCTTTAACAGCAGACTTTCCCATAACAATATGTCTTTTAATTTCTGGGCTGCTAGTGCCAAGAGTGTTGACTGTGGAGCCAAGCAAACTAAAACTCTTAACAATATCAATCTCTTCATTTGAATAATATTCATATTAGTAGGCTTTCCTTTTATGATTAAGGATATCATCCAATCACTTTATTGTTCTTCAGGATTCATCTTGAAATGGTCTTTATATTATAATTTTTCTTCAATTTGTCATTTCAGGTTTAGTCGACAGTATGATTATCTGATTAAAAAAGGCTAACACCAGGCCGTTAGTTCACTAATGTCTAAAATACTAGTTTAATTTAGTATTCCATTTCATTTATACATCACAGTTTTCCAGAATTTGTTCTTAGTACATTCAGTGTTTGATTATTACTGAGTATTTATAGCTGTTTATTATATAGTTCGTATTTTGAGTTCAACAGCAATTGTATTAATTGACTGAAAGCTTTGCTCCATCCATGTCATTTGAAACTGTATTCTTAGGGTTTTCAAGAGTCCTTTATTCAAGAATGCATGATGAGTTCTGCTTCTTAATCTGTTTTAGTCTGAAAGCTTCACTGAAACAGTTCCACCCTGAGTGCCCTTGATGTTATTTAAAATACTGTTAGAATAGTGTCAATTATAACAGCAACATACAAGCCACCTGCAATATGTCAAACTAACAAATAGTGAAAGTAATATTTAGACCATATCAGTACAGAAAATACTTGAATTTTTTTTCATTGCAAATGGATGTGTTTATTGATATTGGTATCTATACGATAAATAAGGTTAAGAACATTAAGTTTTAGATTCACAGTAAGAATCTCAGACCACAAATTCTAGCCAGAAGATTCACAAAGAATTATCAAAACAAAATATTAGAGATGAAGTAATCAATGTGAGAATAAATACACTGAAACAAAGTAAGTTAGTGTAACTTACTTAGAAATTTATTATTTATTTTAATCCCGCTTCAGATTAAGAAAGAAATGCAGTCTTTGGTGCCTCATTTTTATTTGTATTCATTGCCTAAGGGCTTTGTTGTCTGAAAATGAAAGGAGAAAACACAAAAACATTGATTTGGTGTCTTACTTTTATTTTCAGATTTTTTGCAGTAGAGTGACTGGCTTCATAGAATTGATTCTTTTTTTATTTTTTTTATTATATTTTATTAATTTTCATAAACATTTACAGAGATTTTGGGTTTCCATTCA